TCCCCACCCCTGCCCTCTACACCCACGGGGTTCCCCTGGAACAGATTTGGGGTGTGGCTTATTTGGGCTGGGTGGGTCTCTGCCAGCCTGCTCCCCCAGCTCTCTGCCGGCTGCCCCTGCCCTCTGAGAGGGTCCTCAAGGGTCCCTTCTTTGAACATCCTGGCAGGATGGCTGCCTCCTCCCAGGGGCATGCCCTCGGGCCGTGGGGACGTCCCACTTCAGGGCTGTGACTCAGAGGGAGGCTCTGGGGGAGCAGGGGATGGCAGTTTCTAGACTCTACAGAGAGGTTCTTTATGGCAGGCTCCTCGCGGGGGCGGTGCCACCCCTTGGGGGGCCCAGTGGTCCAGGGGGGCTCCTCTGTCCCCCAAGGAGAACAGAAGGGCACCTTGGAGCCCAGGGTGGAGTTTGTGTGTGATTGGTGCTGCTTTTTCTTTAAATGTTCCCAGGAGTTTGGGCTCGGAGTTTGGTTTGTGGGGAGGCTTTTCAAGAAGGGACGTGCCTTCTAAGTCTCCCGTGCAGTTTGGTCATGTGCTTTTCTGCGACTCTGTCCAGCGCCTCCACACCACCACGCTCCTTGGTGCAGGCTCGGTAACGTCCTCTTTGAGCTTATGAAGACCTTCCGCACTGTGCTGCTCTGAGAAGCACACGGATCGGAGGCGATGCACTTTGCCAGCACGGAAGGCACCGCGTGTGGAAGCCCGGCTCCCACTGAGTGAGCCCACTCCCCAAGGGCAGCCAGACCCTGCCTCCTCACCCTGGCTGGGCTGTGCCTGCGTGTGCCCTGCATGTTGGTGACATGCCTCTGTGCTGCACACAAGCGCCTCCCCCATGGCATGGGGTGTTCCACTACCATTTATCTTTGTCACTCTGCTTGGATGGCCGTTTGCGGCTTTCTGGTTTCCGGCTGTGACAGCGGGCACTGAGATGGACATGTCCGGACGCATCTTTGGGGGCACATACTGGGCTGTTCTATCGGCTGCAGACCTGGATGTGGAGTTCGGGGCCGTTGAGAAGCGTCTTAGGCTGTCCTGGATGACGAAGCACTATTCCTAAGTGACTGCCCAGTTCATGCCCACTCCGGCCACCCTGCGTCCTCGGGACACCGGCGTGGTCAGCCTTCTTCATGTCGGGCTCCTGGGAGCGCATCTGCCTTGTCTTGGTCTCGCTGGCATTTCCCTGGTGACCAAGGATGCTGAGAGGCCCTTGAGTGTTTACCAGCCAGTCAGATGGCCCCTTTTGGAGTTGCCTTCTCTTCTTTGATCTGTTTTTCTAGTGGGTTGTCTGTTTCTTTTGATTTGTAAGAATTCCCTGCGGATTCTGGGGGAGCCCTTTGTATGATAATACATGGCCAATTTGATAGTATCTTTGGCCAATTTGTGGCATAGCCTTTCACTCCCTGACTGCTGTCTTCTGGTAAACAGAAGTTCTTGTGTAGGTCAACTTATCAGTCGTTTCTTGATGGTAAGTGTGTTTTATGTCTTGTTTAAGAATTTTTTTCCTACCCCAAGGTCATTTCTACTTATTTCTTGGAAGCTTTATTATTAAACCTTCAACTTTGGATCTGCAACCGACATGAAATAAGTTTTTGCTGTGATTTAGGTAAAGGGTCAAGATTAATATTTTTTTCTATATGGATGTTCAATGGACCTAAACCAAAAAAAAAAAAAAACCAAACCTCACTACTGTAGAGTTGATTCTGACTCATAGTGACCCTCATTGAGTTTTTGAGGTGGTAAATCTTTACAGAAGTAGATTGTCCCATCTTCCTTCTGTAGAGCAGCTGGTGGGTTTGAACCACCAACATTCTGGTTAGCGGTCAAATGCCTTAGGCACTGCGCCACCAAAGCACCTTTCAGTGGACCCAGCACTGTTTATGGAAAAGCCCACCCATTTCTGTATCCATGCCTGCCTTTGCCTCTAGGCCTGTGTCTGTGTCTGGAGTCTCTGTTCTGACTGACAGGTCTTTTTTCTACCCTTGCACTGCCACACGCTCTCGGGCACCGTGGCCACATAGCAAGTCTTGATCCCTCATCATGTAGGCCCTCCAGCTCTGCTTTTCAGGCCAGTCTCCAGCCTTTGCATTTCCGTATATATTTTAGACACATGTCCTACTTCCATACACATTTACCTGCTATCCATTTCCACAAAAGAAGCCAGTGTGGTGCCACTTGGCATGGATGACAGGCAGCGTCTGATTTCATCCCTCACCTCAGGGGAAGTCAGGGAGAGACTTCCATATTTCACCACCAAGCATGGTGTTCGCTAGAGGTTTGTTGGTTTTGATACACTTTACCAAGTTTGAGGAAGTGCCCTTCGGTTGTAAATATTTTTTGTTGAACTTTAACAAATGCCTTTGCAGAATTTAAGATGGTTGTGTTATTTTTCTATTTCTCTAATTTTAGTTGTCAATCCAAACATTTTCTTGGAATAAATCCAACTCTGTTGTGATATACTTTTTATATATGACTGGCTTGGTTAGCTAACGAATTGCTTAGAATTTTGCATCTATTTGAAAGAGAAATTAGTCTCCGGTAATTTTTCTTTCTTATCTTTTTTTTTCATTCTGTTTTTTTGTTATGTTGAGCACATGATGTGAGATGAGGAGAGTTCTCTGTCTGTTCCTATGTGCTAGAAATGTTTGTGATGGTTCGTGTCATCTCTTCCTTTGATGTCTGGAGAATTCCCTGGTGAGACTAACTGGATATGGAGTTTCTCTGTAGGGACAATTTTGACCACTGATTCTACCTCATTGACAGCTACAGGACTATTCAGATTTTCCGCTTCTTCTTTCAATTTTGCTGAGTTACGTTTCCAGAGAAAGTGTTGTCCTCTTTTCCAGTCCTAATATTGATAAATTGTGCCTTCTCTGTTTTTCTGTTTTTGTTCTTCCTTCCCAGAGATTTGTCAATCTTATGAATCTTTTCAGAGAACTGCCTTTTGGCTTTCTTGATTTTTACTGTTGGCTTTTTATCCATATCAAACAAAGAAAACAAATTTCTGATTTTATCTTTGTTAAGCCTTTCCATTTATGTATTTTATTGTTTGTTTTTGTTTCCTGGGTTTTTATCTAACTTTTTGAGATAAATTTAGATCATTGATTCTCAGTATTTCTTCTGTTCTCATATATTCATTCAATGCTATGATTTTACCTCTAAGTGTGACTTTGGTTGCATTCTACAAGATTTGTTTTTATTTTTAAAAATCAACTTTGTTATTGTTGTTTGCTGTCAAGTTGATTCCAACTTATCGTGACCCTATAGGACAGAGTAGAGCTGCCCAATAGGGTTTCTTAGACTGTAATCTTTATGGGAGCTTTTTGTCAAGTCTTTACTGAGGTATAATTCACATGTAATAAAATGCACCATTTAAAAAGTATATCATTAATTGAGTTTTAAGAAATGCATACACGCATGTAACTAGCACCATAAGCAAGACATAAAATGTTGCATCAGTTCAAAGAGTGTCCCCATGGCCCGTTGCCAGTAATTCCCCTCCCCTGCTCTAGACAACCACTACAGAGTCAATTTGTCCTTTCCTGACCTTCATACAAATGGAAGCATGTATTACACACTCTTTTTGGTCTGAACTCTTGTCCAACATGCTGCTTTGGGGCTCGATCCCTGTTGCTGCACAGAGATCAAGCTTTGCCGTCGTTGAGCAGCACTTCATTCTGTGGACATAGCACAGCTGGTTTGTCTTTTCTTGTGTTGATGGGTGTTGTTTCCAGGCTGGGCAGATTGTGAATAAAGCTGCTGCAAACTTTAGTGTCTTTGTGCAGACATGTTTTCATTTCTCTTGAGTAAACTCCTATGAGTGGAATTTCCAGATTGTATAGTAGGTGTAAGTTTTCCTGTGTGGAGAAGCTGCCAAACTGTTTTTCCAATGTGGTTGTACTAGTTTCCCTTTTGACCAGCAGTGTATGAGAGTTCCAGTTACTCCACATTCTAATTGTCAGTCTTTCTAACTGAAGTCATTCTAGTCTTTCAATGGTATTCTGATATTTTAATCTGTATTTTCCTGATGATTAATGATGTTGATCACCTCTTCTTGTGCTTAGTGGCCTTTTGTACGTATTATTTTGTGCAATGTCTGTTCAATCTTTGGCCACTTTTAATGGAGTTCCCCCGCCCCCCATCTTCTTCTACTGTGTTTTAGGAGTTTTTCTGGTTACAAGTCCTTTGTCAGATACATGTATTGACTATTCATTTCCTTAACAATGTCTTTCAAGACCAGAAATTTTAAATTATGGTGAAATCTAATTTATCAATTTTTCCCATATCATTCCTACTTTTGAATCCTATCTAAGCAGTCTTTGTCTCCCCCAAGGTGGCAATGGCTTTCTCCTAGAATTTTTAGGTTTTGTATTTAGCTCTCTAATTTAGTTTTTACATGTAGTGTGAGGAAGTGTTCTAGGATTCATTCTTCCAATTAAATATCCAGTTGTTCCAGCACTATTTGTGAAAAGATTATTCTTTTCCTGTTGAAATAACTTGACTGCTTTGTCAAAACTCAACTGACCATGTAGGTGTGGGTCCGCTCTGGACGGCCTGTTCTGTTCCACTCACTTAGATGTTCATACCACATTGTCTTGGTTACAGTAGTTTTGCAGTAAGTCTTGGAATCAGGTGGTAAAGTCCTCCAGTTTTGTTTTGCTTTTGCTACATTGTTTTCATTACTCTTGATTTCTGTGCCTTTTTATGTAAATTTTAAAATCAGCTTGTCAAATTCTACCAAAAACAAGCAAACAAACAAACAAAAAACCTGCTGGCATTTTTCTTGGTATGGTTTTGAATCATTAGGTCGATCTGGGGTGATCTGACCTCTTAACAATATTCCACTTTGTGTACGTGTTGCCTTTTTCCACCTGTCAAAAAGGAAGTTCTCATTCAACGGATAGACTGAATCAATAAACAACACCTAGCTCTCCTTTAAAAAAGGAACCGAACCATGACGTGTCTTCCATTGATTCAGGTCTTCTTCATTGGCTCTCACCTGCCCAGGACAGCTACCCCACCTGCATGGGTATGTGTACCCTTCTGGGCCCCTACCCTCAGATCCAGCATCTGGGCCACCTGCCTGCCTGCCCCACTAACAGCGTGTCTCTCTGCAGTGTCTGGCCGGCAGCTGCAGCCAGAAGAACCAGATGCAGAAACTGAAGAAGACCGCTCTGTAAGTGAGGCCTGGGGGGAGCATACCCACCCCTGCCCCGCCTCCTCCATTCCTGTGCCTGGGCAGAGCCTGGAGGCCAACGGTAACTGAGTCTCCCTTCTGGCCAGGTGACCGAAGGGCCTGCGGATGAGATCGTCCGGCCACGACCACAGGGGTCCTCGCCTGTCTACGAATGTGTGGCTGAGGGTGCTGGTTTTGGACTTCAGGTTAGCCTGCTGGACAGAGACCTACAGGCTGTGGGAGAACCTAGGCACGAGGCCACAGGTGGCATCAGCCTGTGCAGCCGCCCTGTCCTCCCTGCTGCCCACTGGGTCACCCTGCCCCTCTGTTTCCCCCACCTGTCCCCCACCTCAGCTTCCAAGAGACACTCCACCCCACAGCTCATGAGCTCCTGGGGGGGGGGCAGTGGCGGGGGTGCAGGGAGGGTGGTGGGTATGCCTGACAGGTGACTACACACCTCCCCACCCCTGTCTTCTGGAGAGGGTGCTGGGAACGGGGTGGGGAGGTGTGTTGACTAAGAGCTTCATTTTTGTATAGTGTAGATTTCTTTCTTCTCTCTGTCCATGCAAGACCCCAGTCACCACGGGGTTTACCAGGAGGTATGGCAGCTGGGGCTGGGCACTATGGGCTGGGGCCCACCAGGAAGGTCAAAGGCTGAGGGTTGCCTTTTCCCAGGTGGGGAGGCCTAGCTCCCTCTGCACATAGAGGCAGCTCCAGACCCCTCGGAGCTGGGGGGCCTGGCTCTGGTGCCCAGCTTCCCTGTGCTGGGCAGGTGGGTGACTGTGGACTTCTGTGGCTCCAGGAAGACGCTCCGAGCAGGCGAAGCGTGGCGAGACGGAGATCGTGGTGGAAGCGGGACTCGGGGGAGCCGCGGACTTTCTCCAGGATGAGCCGTCCAGAGGTGGGTCAGGGAGGAGCACCCGCAGGCCTCCACCCACAGGGGCCAGTGGGGTAGCAGGAGGGCCCAAGAGGCTGGCAGAGGGCACCCCAAGGAAGGGGCAGAGGGGCAGGGGGAGGGAGGACCCAGGAGGCTGATGGAGGGTGCCCCAGGGAAGGGTGTTGGGCACCCTTGTCAGGCTGGGTGCAGGAATCCTGGAGGGGAACATTCTGCCTTTCCCAAGGCCCCTCTCCCTTGCGACATTCCCGCCAGGAGGTTCAGAGCCCAGACCCCTGATCAGCTGTCCCCGAGCCTGCAGAGCTGTGTGCTGATCTCATCCGCACAACACGGATGGAGCTGGTGCCTCTGTGGGAGGGCCCACTGCATGAAGGGGTGAAGGGCTCTCAGGAGCTGGGCCAGCTGGAGCGGCGAGGTTGCCACCTCTCAGGCAGCCTCTCTGTTTCCCCGGCACCTGGCTGATGCTGAGCTCGTCCACCGGGTCATGAGGTTGCCCGGTGTCCTGCTCAGGGCACGCCCCTCCCAGCGTTCACGTCCTGCCTGGTTGAGCACCAGGGGCCCATCTGTGATCAGTGCAGCATGCTTGTGGGAAGAGTGAACGGTGCCACGAAGGAGGCGTGGTCTCCTGTGCTTGAGGAGCCGCTCAGCCGGTGTCAGGCTGCTCCTGAGGCCTGAAGGGGTACAAGAGGAATAGCCCCTGAGACTGCCCACAGCTGGTGTCCCCCAAAGCCTGGCCCTGTGTCACTCAGGGTGACGGACCAGATGGCAGGGTCCACCTCCTCAGAGGAGGCACAGGGACATCATATGCTTTTGTTCCAGTCCGTACAGGGGGCCTCAGAGGTGACACTGGACACCGAGGTGGAGGTGGGAGCCAGCGGCTACAGTGTCACTGGTGGTGGAGACCAGGGGGTCTTTGTTAAGCAAGTGTTGAAGGGGTCCTCGGCTGCCAAGCTCTTCAGCTTGAGAGAAGGTACCGTGCCTACCCACCCTGCAGTCCCCACTGCCCCCTAGGAGGGAAAGCTGCAAGGGAATGGGGGCCACACCAAGCCTGCATTCAGCTACTTCCAGACTGGGGTCCGACCTACTGTGCCTTAATGTTCTCACCTGAGAACTGGGCTCACCTTCTCCCACCCTGCGCTTTCTGTGGCCCAGAAGTTGCATGGCGCAGAACCACATGGCGGGGGGGTTCTTCTTCTCTTTTATGCACCTCTGCATGAAGACCCTTCCCTCCCTGTGGCTAGAGACTGTGGGGATGGAGGCCCATGGGGTGGGAGGCCCAAGGGGGTTGGAGGCCTGAGCACAGCCTTCTCCTTGTCTAGGGGACCAGCTGCTCAGCACAACCATATTCTTTGACAACATTAAATATGAAGATGCTCTCAAAATCCTTCAGTACTCAGAGCCATATAAGGTTCAGTTCAGGATCAAACGGAAACTCCCTGACCGAGAGGAAGAGGCAGGGGCCCACAGTGGTGCTCAGTTGGGCCCAAAGGGCCCTGAGAAGCAGGTAAGGCCGGCCCAGTGGCCAAGGCTGGGTGGGGGCCCCAGTCTAGGCCTCTGCTGTCAGGTGCAGGCACCCACGACCTATCTTCTGTCTTTTAGGAGAAGGAGGTCACTGACCAGTACACCGAGAGCCCCACAAAGACGCTGGAAGGAGGCGGGGACCAAGACACGCTTCTCCCCAAGGCCAGGGTGGAACGCGGCCGTCGGCCCCAGAAGGAGAGGCTCTCCTGGCCCAAATTCCAAGCAGTGCGACCCAAGTACAGGCCAGGGCCCCGGCGGTCACACAGTTCCTCAGAGGCCTATGAGCGGGACACCTCAGATGTGTCCCCCACGAGCACAGACACGGAAGCCCAGCTCCCAACGGAGGGCCAGGAGCTGCAGGGCAGCCAGCGCAGAAGGAAGTTCCTCAGCCTGCGGTTCCGGACAGGCCCAGGGCGTCCAGACAAAGGGGCCCAGGGCAGTCTGGTACCAGGGGTCCTTGAGGAAGCAGAGTTCAAAGACACAGGGGTCCCTCCGACCACAGGGCCTAGCAGCTTTGGGGAGGGAGCATCAGGAGAGATTGCAGAACCTGTGGCCAGACGCAGAAAGAAGAGCAGGGAGGCCAAAGCCCAGGAGGAAGCAGCCTGGCAGAGGGGTCCCGAGCAGGCCTGGAGGGACAACGGGGGCCCAGTGCAGAGGCAGGAAGTAGGCACCGCCCAGCTGTCCTCTCAAGGCACCACTGCACCCGGTGGCATGCAGAATGGCCTGCCAGAAATCCGGGTCCGCATCCCCCACTTGCAGACACCCCGATTTGGGGTCTCCAAACAAAAAGTACTGGACTCAGGAGCAGTCATCTCCGAATCCCAGCTGGAGCAGCAGCCAGGAAGGCTCTCCGGAGCAGAGCATGGGCCCAGGGAGGAGGTGGAGGGAGAAGCAGGAAGCCTGGGGGCTGGAGCGCCCCGGGAGGACTTGCCAGAACTTGAAGACCAGAAAACATATGGGCAAGGGCCAGGTGAGGCTGGGGTAAGAGTCAGGGCTGAGGAGAAAGATGTGGGTGGCACTGAGGGAAAGGTAAAGATGGGAAAGTTCAAAATGCCATCATTTGGATGGTCACCCATCAAGGAGCCAAAGACATCCGGGTCAAGACACCAAGAGGCAAGAGGCAGGGATGTCACAGTTGACACAGCCAAGCCAGAAACTGGAGCCAGCAGAAGAGAGAAAGAGCACCAACTAGACGACAAAGATCAAAGAGTGCCCACGCCATCACCCGGTGGCAAGACAGACGGCGTGAGCCTGGAGGATGAAAGGGCCACAGCAGACAAAGATGTGCTCACCAAAGACAGCAAGTTCAAGATGCCCAAGTTCAAGATGCCGTCCTTTGGGGTCTCAGTTCCCGTCAAAGAAGACACACACTCCATGGATAGCTCCCTGCCCAGGATAGGTGGAGAAGCATCATTACCCACCCTGGAGGGAAAAATCAGAACTGCACAAGTGCAGGCACGAGTGCCAGCAAGGGAAGTGGAATTCAGCACAGGGACAAGAAGTATGAAAATACCAGAGGAGGAGGGGACACTGAGGACTGACGAGGACCAAGATGACAGAGACACACAAAAAGAGCACCAGCCCAAGGTCCAGATGCCCGGCATCAAGACGCCCAAGGTGGACCCCAAGGACCCCAAGGTGGACGCCAGCCTCCCCGACATAGACATATCACTGCCCAAGGTCACAGTGGATGCCCCAGTTCCTGGGCTCTCCATGGAGGGAGTGAAGGTGGAGGGAGACAAGGACATCCAGACCAAGGACGGCAAGTTCAAGATGCCCTCCTTCAAGATGCCATCCTTTGGCGTGTCTGCACCAAGCAAATCCATCAAGGCATCGGTGGACATGTCTCTGCCAGAGGCACAGGGGGACGTGTCCCTCCCCTCCATCGAGGGAGAAGTCAAGACTGGCAACCTCAGCATTCAACTCCCATCGGCAGATGTGGACGTGAAGGGTGGCAAGGTGGGCGTGAAGCTCCCCGAGGGCCAGCTACCCGAAAGAGAGCCCACGGGACAGGCCATGGGAGCCGGACTCAAAGGGCACCTGCCCACCTTCCAGATGCCTGGTGTTAAGATGCCCAAAATAGACTTCAGGGCCCCCCAGGTGGACCTCAAGGGCTCCAAGCTGGACATGAAAGGCCCCAAAGGAGATGTAGACACACAAGACATAGAGGTGTCCCTGCCCAGCATGGAGGTGGACATCCAGCCACCCAGCATCAAGGTGGAGGGTGATGTATCTCTGGCAGAGAAGGATGTGGCAGCCAAAGACAGCAAGTTCAAGATGCCCAAGTTCAAGATGCCCTCCTTCAGGATGTCGGCTCAGAGCAAGGACCTGAGGACCTCTGTGGATGAGCCAGGGCCCCAAGTGGGTGCAGAGGCCTCCCTGCCTTCCCTGGGAGTGGAGATAGCACCCACTGAGTGGAGCATCCCCGTGCCATCCGCTGACATCACCCTGCCAGGGGCCGAGCTAGAAGTTTCCCTCCCAGATATGGAGGCAGCAGCTGGAGAGCTGAAGGGCAAAGCAGAAGGGCCTAGGATCAAAGGGCACCTGCCCAAGGTCCAGATGCCCAGCATCAAGATGCCCAAGGTGGACCTGAAGGGCCCCAAGGTGGATGCCAGCCTCCCAGACGTGGACGTGACGCTGCCCAAGGTTGCAGTGGACACCCCTACTCCCGGGCTCTCTGTGGGGGACGTTAAGGTGGAGGGAGACGTCAAGTTGGGAGACAAGGATGTCAAGATCAAGGAGGGCAAGTTCAAGATGCCCTCCTTCAAGATGCCATCCTTTGGTGTGTCTGCTCCAAGCAAGTCCACTGAGACATCAGTGGATGTGTCTCTGCCAGAGGCAAGGGTAGAGGTGTCCCTCCCCTCCATTGAGGGAGAAGTCAAGACCAGAGACATCAGCATTCAACTCCCATCGACCAATGTGGATGTGAAGGGTGGCGAGGTGGGCATGAAACTCCCCAAGGGCCAGCTGCCCGAGGGAGAGCCCGCAGGACAGGCTGTGGGAGCTGGACTCAAAGGGCACTTGCCCACCTTCCAGATACCTGGAATCAAGATGCCCAAAGTAGATTTCAAGGCCCCCCAGGTGGACAGCAAGGGCCCCAAGGTGGACCTCAAGGGCCCCAAGTTGGACGTGAAAGGCCCCAAGGTGGAGGTGGCTGCCCCAGACGTGGAGGTGTCCCTACCCAGTGTGGAGGTGGACATCCAGGCGCCCAGTACTAAAGTGGAGGGTGACATGTCCCTGACAGACAATGATGTGGCAACCAAAGACAGCAAGTTCAAGATGCCCAAGTTCAAGATGCCATCTTTTGGGGTGTCGGCTCTGAGCAAGGACATGGGAACCTCTGTGGACATGCTAGGGCCCAAAGTGGGTGAGGAGGCTTCCCAGCCCTCCCTGGAGGTGGAGATCCCACCCGTCGAGGGGACCATCCCCATGCCATCTGCTGACATTGCCCTGCCAGGGGCTGAGCTGGAAGTTTCCCTCCCAGAGGTGGATGTGGCCACTGGAGAGCTGAAGGGCAAAGTGGAAAGCGCTAGGATCAAAGGGGACTTGCCCAAGGTCCAGATGCCCGGCATCAAGATGTCCAAGGTGGACCTGAAGGGTCCCAAGGTGGATGCCAGGCCACCTGACATGGACATATCACTGCCCAAGGTCACTGTGGATGCCCCAGCTCCCAGGCTTTCTATGAGGGGCCTGAAGGTGGAGGGAGACCTCAATCTGGGAGACAAGGACCTCAAGACCAAGGATGGCAAGTTCAAGATGCCCTCCTTCAAGATGCCATCCTTTGGGGCGTCTGTGCCAAGCAAGTCCATTGAGGCATCAGTGGACATTTCTCTGCCAGAGACACAGGTGGACGTGTCCCTCCCCTCTATTGAGAGAGAAGTCAAGACAAGTGACCTCAGCATTCAACTCCCATCAACCGACATGGACATGAAGGGTGGCGAGGTGGGTGTGAAGCTCCCCGAGGGCCAGCTGCCTAAGGGAGAGCCTGCGGGACAGGCCATGGGAGCTGGACTCAAAGGGCACGTGCCCGAGTTCCAGATGCCTGGCATCAAGATTCCCAAAGTGGATTTCAAGGCTGCTCAGGTGGATATCAAGGGCTCCAAGGTGGACCTCAAGGGCCCCAAGCTGGACGTGAAAGATGCCAAGGGGGAGTTGGTGATCCCAGACGTGGAGGTGTTCCTACCCGGCATGGAGGAAGACATCCAGGCACCCAGCACCAAGGTGGAGGGTGACATGTCCCTGCCAGACAATGATGTGACCACCAAAGACAGCAAGTTCAAGATGCCCAAGTTTAAGGTGCCGTCTTTTGGGGTATCAGCTTCAAGCAAGGACTGGGGAACCTCTGCAGATGTGCCAGGGCCCAAGGTGGGTGCGGAGACCTCCCTGACCTCCTTGGAGGTGGAGATTGCATCTGCCAAGGGGACTATCCCCAGGCAATCTTCTGACATCGCCCTGCCAGGGACCGAGCTGGAAGTTTCCCTCCCAGAGGTGGATATGGACACTGGAGAGCTGAAGGGCAAAGCGGAAGGGCCTAGGATCAAAGGGCACCTGCCCAAGGTCCAGATGCCTGGCATCAAGATGCCCAAGGTGGACCTGAAGGGCCCCAAGGTGGATGCCAGCCTCTCTGATGTGGACGTGTCACTGCCCAAAGTCACAGTGGATGCCATGGCTCCCAGGCACTCCGTGAGGGGCATTAAGGTGGAAGGAGAGATCAAGTTGGGAGACAAGGACATCAAGACCAAGGACAGCAAGTTCAAGATGCCTTCCTTCAAGATGCCATCCTTCGGCGTATCCGCGCCAAGCAAGTCCATTGACATTTCTCTGCCAGAGGCACGGGGGGACGTGTCCCTTCCCTCCATCGAGGGAGAAATCAAGACCAGCGACCTCAGCATTCAAGTCCCATCGGCCGACGTGGACTGGAAGGGTGGTGAGGTGGGCGTGAAACTCCCTGAGGGCCAACTGCCCAAGGATGAGCCCACAGGACAGGCTGGGGGAGCCGGACTCAAAGGGCACCTGCCCAAGATCCAGATGCCTGGCATCAAGATGCCCAAAGTGGACTTCAAAGCCCCCCAGGTGGACATCAAAGGCCCCAAGGTGGACCTCAAAGGACCCAAGCTGGACATGAGAGGCCCCAGGTGGGAGGGTGTTGGCCCAGACGTGGAGATGTCCATGTCCGGTATGGAGGTGGACATTCAGGTGCCCAGCACCAAGGTGGAGGGTGACGTGTCCCTGGCAGACAAGGACGTGGCTGCCAAAGACAGAAAGTTCAAGATGCCCAAGTTCAAGATGCCATCTTTTGGGGTATCAGCTCCAAGCAAGGACCTGGGAACCTCTGTGGACGTACCAGGGCCTGAAGTGGGTGCAGAGGCCTCCCTGCCCTCCCTGGAGGTGGAGATGACACCTACTGAGAGGACCATCTCCATGCCATCTGCTGACATAGCCATACCAGGGGCTGAGCTGGAAGTGTCCCTTCCAAAGGTGGAGGCGGCTGTTGGAGAGCTGAAGGGAAAAGCAGAAGGGGCTAGGATCAAAGGACACCTGCCCAAGGTCCAAATGCCCAGCATCAAGATGCCCAAGGTGGACCCAAAGGGCCCCAAGCTGGACACCAGCCTCCCCGACATCGACATTTCTCTGTCCAAGGTCACAGTGGATGTCCCAGCTCCCCAGCTCTCTGTGGAGGAAGTGAAGGTGGAAGGAGACAAGATTATCAAGACCAAGGACAGCAGGTTCAGGATGCCCTCCTTGAAGATGCCATCCTTTGGCGCATCTGTGCCAAGCAAGTCCATCGAGGCATCGGCAGACTTATCTCTGCCAGAGGCACAAGTGGACGTGTCCCTCCCCTACATCGAGGGAGAAGTCAAGACCGGTGACTTCAGCATTCAACTCCCATCAGCCAACGTGGACTTGAAGGGTGGCGAAGTGGATGTGAAGCTCCCTGAGGGCCAGATGCCCGAGGGAGAGCATGCGGGACAGGCTGTTGGAGCTGCACTCAAAGGGCACCTGCCCAAGTTCCAGATGCCCGGCATCAAGATGCCCAAAGTGGATTTCAAGGCCCCCGAGGTGGAAATCAGGGGCCCCAAGGTGGACCTCAAGGGCCCCAAGCTGGACGTGAAAGGCCCCAAGGGGGAGTTGGCCACCCCAGATATCAAGGTGTCCCTACCTGGCATGGAGGTGGACATCCAGGCACCCAGCACCAAGATGGAGGGTGACATGTCCCTGACAGACATTGATGTAGCCACCAAAGACAGCAAGTTCAAGATCCCCAAGTTTAAGATGCCATCTTTCGGGGTATCGGCTCCAAGCAAGGACCTGGAAACGTTGGTGGACATGCCAGGGCCCAAAGTGGATGCAAAGGCCTCCCTGCCCTCCTTGGAGGTGGAGATCACCCCTGCAGAGGGGACCATCCCCATGCCATCTGCTGACATTGCCCTGCCAGGGGCCGAGCTGGGAGTTTCCCTCCCAGAGGTGGATGTGGCCACTGGAGAGCTGAAGGGCAAAGCAGAAGAGGCTAGGATCAAAGGACACCTGCCTAAGGTCCAGATGGCAGGCATCAAAATGCCCAAGGTGGACCTGAAGGGCCCCAAGGTGGACTCCAGCCTCCCCGATGTGGATGAGTTGCTGCCCAAAGTCACGGTGGATGCCACAGCTCCAAGGCTCTCCATGGGGGACATTAAGGTGCAGGATGATATCAAGTTGGGGGACAAGGATGTCAAGACCAAGGAGGACAAGTTTAAGATGCCCTCCTTTAAGATGCCCTCCTTTGGCGTGTCTGCACCAAGCAAGTCCATCGAGGCATCGGTGGATGTGTCTCTGCCAGAGGCACAGGGGGACATGTCTCTCCCCTCCATTGAGGCAGAAGTCAAGACCAGTGACCTCAGTATTCAACTCCCATCAACTGACGTGGACGTGAAGGGTGGTGAGGTAGGCGTGAAGCTCCCCGAGGGCCAACTGCCCAAGGGACAGCTGACAGAGCAGGCCGTGGGAGCCAGACTCAAAGGGCACCTGCCCAGGTTCCAGATGCCTGGTGTCAAGATGCCCAAAGTGGACTTCAAGGCCTCCCAGATGGATGTCAAGGGCCCCAAGGTGGACCTCAAGGGCCCCAAGCTGGATGTGAAAGGTCCCAAGGGGGAGGTGGCCACTCCAGACGTGAAGGTGTCCCTGCCCAGCATGGAGGTGGACATTCAGGCACCCAGCACCATAGTGGAGGGTGACGTGTCCCTGGCTGACAAGGACATGACTGCCAAAGATAGCAATTTCAAGATGCCCAAATTCAAGATGCCATCCTTTGGAGTGTCGGTTCCAAGCAAAGACCTGGGGACCTCCATGGATGTGTCAGGGCCCAAAGTAAGTGTGGAGACCTCTCAGCAACCCCTTGAGGTAGAGATCACACCCGCTGAGAGGAGCATCCCCGTGCCGTCTGCTGACATCGCCCTGCCAGAGGCCGAGCTGGAAGTGTCCCTTTCAGAGGTGGAAGCGGCGGTTGGAGAGCTGAAGGGCAAAGTGGAAGGGGCTAGGATCAAAGGGCACCTGCCCAAGGTCCAGATGCCCAGCATCAAGATGCCCAAGGTGGACCTGAAAGGCCCCAAGGTGCACACCAGCCTCCCAGAGGTGGACGTGTTGCTGCCCAAGGTCTCTGTGGATGCCCCGGCTCCCGGGCTCTCCATGGAGGGCCTGAAGGTGGAGGGAGACATCAACCTGGGAGATAAGGACGTCAAGACCAAGGACAGCAAGTTCAAGATGCCCTCTTTCAAGATGCCATCCTTTGGCATGTCTGCACCAAGCAAATCCATTGAGCCATCAGTGGACGTGTCTCTCCCAGAGGCACAGGGGGACGTGTCCCTCCCCTCCATCAAGGGAGAAGTCAAGACCAGAGACCTCAGCATTCAACTCCCATCAGCTGACGTGGACTTGAAGGGTGGTGAGGTGGGTGTGAAGTTCCCTGAGGACCAGCTGCCAAAGGGAGAGCCTGCAGGACAGGCTCTGGAAGCCAAACTCAAAGGGCACCTGCCCAAGTACCAGATGCCCAGCATCAAGATGCCCAAAGTGGATTTCAAGGCCCCCCAGGTGGACATCAAGGACCCCAAGGTGGACCTCAAGCGACCCAAGCTGGACAAGAAAGGCCCCAAGGGGGAGGTGGCCGCCCCAGGCATGGAAGTTCCCCTACCTGGCATGGAGGTGGACATCCAGTCACCAGGTACCAAGGTGAAGGGTGATGAATCCCTGGAAGACAAGTTCAAGATGCCCAAGTTCAAGATGCCATCCTTCAGCGTGTCGGTTCTAAGCAAGGACGTGGAGACCTCCGTGGATGTGCCAGGGCCCAAAGTAAGCATGGAGGCCTCTCAGCACCCCCTAGAGGTGGAGATCACACCTGCCGAGGGGAGCATCACCATGCCATCAGCTGACATCACCCTGCCAGGGGCCGAGCTGGAAGTGTCCCTTATAGAGATGGAGGCAGTGGCTGGAGAGCTGAAGGGCGAAGCAGAAGGGGCTAGGATCAAAGGACACCTGCCCAAGGTCCAGATGCCTGGCATCAAGATGCCCAAGGTGGATCTGAAGGGCCTCAAGGTGGATGCCAGCCTCCCTGACGTGGACGTTTCACTGCCCAAGGTCCCTGACGTGGACACCATGGCTACTGAGCTCTCTGTGGAGGGCGTTAAGGTGGAGAGAGATGTCAAACAAGGAGACAAGGACATCAAGACCAAGGACGGTAAGTTCAAGATACCTTCCTTCAAGATACCATCCTTTGGCGTGTCTGCGCCAAGCAAGTCCATCAAGGCATCGGTGGATGTGTCTCTGCCAGAGGCACAGGGGGACATGTCCCTCCCCTCCATCGAGGCAGAAGTCAAGACCAGCGACCTCAGTATTCAACTCCCATCGACTGACGTGGACGTGAAAGGTGGTGAGGTGGGCGTGAAGCTCCCCAAGGGCCAACTGCCTGAGGGAGAGCCAACGGAGCAGGCCATGGCAGCCAGACTTAAAGGGCACCTGCCCAAATTCCAGATGCCTGATGTCAAGATGCCCAAAGTAGACTTCAAGCCCCCCCAGGTGGACGTCAAGGGCCCCCAGGTGGACCTCAAGGGTCCCAAGCTGGATGTAATAGGTCCCAAGGGGGAGGTGGCCACCCCAGATGAGGTGTCCCTGCCCAGTGTGGAGGTGGATATCCAGGTGCCCAGAGCCATGGTGGAGGGTGACGTGTCCCTGGCAGAGAAGGACGTGGCTGCCAAAGACAGAAAGTTCAATATACCCAAATTGAAGATGCCGTCCTTTGCAGTGTCAGCTCTGAGTAAGGACATGGGAACCTCTGTGGATGTACCAGGGCCCCAAGTGGGCATAGAAGCCTCCCTGCCCTCCCTGGAGATGGAGATCACACCCACCAAGGGGAACATCCCCATGCCATCTGGTGACATCGCCCTGCCAGGGGCTGAGATGGAAGTGTCCCTTCCAGAGGTGGAGGTGGCCGCTGGAGAGCTGAAGGGCAAAGTGGAAGGCGCTAGGATCAAAGGGCACCTGCCCAAGGTCCAGATGCCCGGCATCAAGATGCCCAAGGTGGATGTGAAGGGCCCCAAGGTGGACGCCAGCATCCTTGATGTGGACGTGTCACTGCCCAAGGTCGCTGTGGATGCCCCAGCTCCTGGGCTCTCCGTGGAGGGCCTAAAGGTGGAAGGAGACGTCAGCCTGGGAGACAAGGATGGCAAGACCAAGGATGGCAAGTTCAAGATGCCCTCCTTCAAGATGCCATCCTTTGACATGTCTGCACCAAGCAAGTCCATTGAAGCATCGGTGGACATTTCTCTGCCAGAGGCACAGGGGGACGTGTCCCTCCCCTGCATTGAGAGAGAAGTCAAGACCAGCGTCCTCAGCATTCCACTCCCATCAGCCGACGTGGACTTAAAGGGTGGCGAGGTGGGCATGAAGCTCCCCAAAGGGCAGCTGCCTAAAGGAGAACCCACAGGACAGGCCATGGGAGCCGGACTCAAAGGGCACCTGCCCAAGATCCAGATGCCCGGCATCAAGATGCCCAAAGTGGACTTTGAGGTCCCTCAGGTGGACATCAAGGGCCCCAAGATGGACCTCAAAGGCCCAAAGCTTGACATGAAAGGCCCCAAGTGGGAGGGTGCCGAGCCAGACGTAGAGGTGTCTGTGCCCAGTATGGAGGTGGACATCCAGCTGCCCAGCACCAAGGTGGAGGGTGGCATGTCCCTGGTGGACAAGGACCTGGCTGCCAAAGACAGCAAGTTCAAGATGCCATCTTTTGGGGTATCGGCTCCCAGCAAGGACCTAGGACTATCGGTGGATATGCCAGGGCCCAAAGTGGGTGCTGAGGCCTCCCTATCCTCCCTGGGAGTGGAAATAGCACCTGCTGAGGGCAGCATCCCCATGCCATCTGCTGACATCACCCTGCCAGGGGCCGGGCTGGAGGTGTCCATCCCAGAGGTGGAGGCAGCGGCTGGAGAGCTGAAGGGCAAAGCGGAAGGGGCTAGAATCGAAGAGCACCTGCCAAAGGTCCAGATGCCCAGCATCAAGATGCCCAAGGGGGATCTGAAGGGCCCCAAGGTGGATGCCAGCCTCCCCGACATTGATGTGTCACTCCCCAGAGTCACAGTGGACACCCCGGCTCCTGGGCTCTCCGTGGAAGGAGTGAAGGAAGAAGGAGACAAGGACATCAAGACCAAGGACGGCAGGTTCAGGATGCCCTCCTTGAAGATGCCATCCTTTGGCGTGTCTGTGCCAAGTAAATCCATCGAGGCATCAGTGGATGTGTCTCTGCCAGAGGCACAGGGGGACATGTCCCTCCCCTCCATCGATGGAGAAGGCAAGACCAGCATCCAAAGCATTCAGCTCCCATCGGCTGACGTGGACTTGAAGGGTGGCAAGGTGGACGTGAAGCTCCCCGAAGGCCAGCTGCCCAAGGGAGAGCCCGCGAGAGAGGCCGTGGGAGCTGGACTCAAAGGGCACCTGCCCAAATTCCACATACCTGGCATCAAGATGCCCAAAGGGGATTTCAAGGCCCCCCAGGTGGACATCAAGGGCCCCAAGGTGGACCTCAAAGGCCCCAAGCTGGATGTGAAAAGCACCAAGGGGGAGGTGGCCACCCCAGACGTGGAAGTGTGCCTACCCAGCATGAAGATGGACATCCAGTCACCCGGCGCCAAGGTGGAGGGTGACATGTCCCTGGCAGACAAGGACGTGACTGCCAAAGACAGCAAGGTCAAGATGCCCAAGTTCAAGATGCCATCCTTTGGGGTGTCGGTTCCGAGCAAGGACCTGGGGACCTCCGTGGATGTACCAGGGCCCAAAGTAAGTGTGGAGACCTCTCAGCCCCCCTCAGAAGTAGAGATCGCACCCGCCGAAGGGAGCATCCCCATTCCATCTCCTGACATCACCCTGCCTGAGGCTGAGCAGGAAGTGTCCCTCCCAGAGGTGGAGGCAGTGGCTGGAGAGCTGAAGGGCAAAGCAGAAGGGGCTAGGATCAAAGGGCACCTGCCCAAGGTCCAGATGCCCAGCATCAAGATGCCCAAGGTGGATCTGAAGGGCCCCAAGGTGGATGCCAGCCTCCCCAACGTGGACGTGTCGCTGCCCAAGGTCACGGTGGATGCCCCGGCTCCTGGGCTCTCCGTGGAGGGAATTAAGGTGGAGAGAGATATCAAGCCAGGAGATAAAGACATCAAGACCAAGGATGGCAAGTTCAAGATGCCCTCCTTCAAGATGCCATCCTTTGGCGTGTCTGCGCCAAGCAAGTCCATCAAGGCATCGGTGGATGTGTCTCTGCCAGAGTCACAGGGGGACATGTCCCTCCCCTCCATCGAGGCAGATGTCAAGACCAGCGACCTCAGCATTCAACTCCCATCGACCGATGTGGACGTGATGGGTGGTGAGGTGGGTGTGAAACTCCCTGGAGGCCAAGTCCCTGAAGGAGAGCCGATGGGACAGGCCATGGCAGCCGGACTCAAAGGGCACCTGCCCAAGTTCGAGATGCCTGGTGTCAAGATGCCCAAAGAGGACTTCAAGGCCCCCCAGGTGGATGTCAAGGGCCCCAAGGTGGACGTCAAGGGCCCCAAGCTGGATGTGAAAGGTCCCAAGGGGGATGTGGGCACCCCAGACAAGGTGTCCTTGCCCAGCGTGGAGGTGGACATCCAGGCGCCCAGCACCATGGTGGAGGGTGAGGTGTCCCTTGCAGACAAGGATGTGGCCACCAAAGACAGCAAGTTCAAGATGCCCAAGTTCAAGATGCCATCCTTCGCAGTGTCGGCTCTGAACAAGGACATGGAAACCTCCGTGGATGTACCAGGGCCCCAAGTGGGCGTAGAAGCCTCCCTGCCCTCCCTGGAGATGGAGATTGCACCCACCAAGGGGAGCATCCCCATGCCATCTGGTGACATCGCCCTGCCAGGGGCTGAGATGGAAGTGTCCCTTCCAGAGGTGCAGGAGGCCATTGGAGAGCTGAAGGGCAAAGCGGAAGGGGCTAGAATCAAAGGGCACCTGCCCAAGGTCCAGATGCCTGGCATCAAGATGCCCAAGGTGGATCTGAAGGGCCCCAAGGTGGATGCCAGCTACCCTGATGTGGACATGTCACAGGTCAAGGTCACTGTGGATGCCCTGGCTCCTGGGCTCTCCGTGGAGGGTCTGAAGGTGGAGGGAGATGCCAACCTGGGAGACAAGGACGTCAAGATCAAGGATAGCAAGTTCAAGATGCCCTCCTTCAAGATGCCATCCTTTGGCATGTCTGCGCCAAGCAAGTCCATCGAGGCATCGGTGGATAATACATTGCCAGAGGCACAGGTGAACGTGTCCCTCCCTTCCATCGAGGGAGAAGTCAAGACCAGCGTCCTCAGCATTCAAGTTCCATCAGCCGACGTGGACTTGAAGGGTGGTAAGGTGGGCTTGAAGCTCCCCAAGGACCAGCTGCCCGAGGGAGAGCCCACAGGACAGGCTGTGGGAGCTGGAGTCAAATGGCACCTGCTCGAGTTCCAAAAGCCCAGTGTCAAGATGCCCAAAGTGGATTTCAAGACCTCCCAGGTGGACATCAAGGGCCCCAAAGTGGACCTCAAGGGACCCAAGCTGGATGTGAAAGGCCCCAAGGGGGAGGTGGCCACCCCTAATGTGGAAGTGTCTTTGCCTGGTATGGAGGTGGACATCCAGCTGCCCAGCACTAAGGTGGAGGGTGATGTGTCCCTGCTGGACAAGGACCTGGTCCTCAAAGACAGCAAGTTCAAGATGGCCAAGTTCAAGACACCGTCTTTTGGGGTACTGGCTCCAAGCAAGAACCTGGGAACCTCTGTGGAAGTGGTAGGGCCCAAAGTGGGTGCAGAGGCCTCCCTGCCCTCCCTGGGAGCGGAGATCACACCCATCGAGGGGAGCATCCCCATGCCATCTGCTGACATTGCCCTGCCAGGGGCTGAGCTGGAAGTATCCATCCCAGAGGTGGATGTGGCCGCTGGAGAGCTAAAGGGAAAAGCAGAAGAGGCTAGGATCAAAGGGCACCTGCCCAAGGTCCAGATGCCTGGCATCAAGATGCCCAAGGTGGACCTGAAGGGTCCCAAGACAGACACCAGCCTCCCTGACGTGGACGTGTCACTGCCCAAGGTCATGGTGGATGCCACAGCACCCCAGCTCTCTGTGGAGGGAGTGAAGGTGGAAGGAGACAAGGATGTCAAGACCAAGGAGAGCAAGTTCAAGATGCCCTCTTTCAAGATGCCATCCTTTGGTGTATCTGCACCAAGCAAGTCCATCGAGGCATCAGTGGACGTGTTTCTGCCAGGGGCACAGCAGGACGTGTCCCTCCCCTCCATTGAGGGAGAAGTCAAGACCAGACACCTCAGCATTCAACTCCCATCGGCCAACGTGGATTTGAAGGGTGGCGAGGTGGGTGTGAAGTTCCCTGAGGGCCAGCACCCCAAAGGAGAGCCCGCAGGACAGGCCATGGGAGCTGGACTCAATGAGCACCTGCCCAAGATCCAGATGCCCAGCATCAAGATGCCCAAAGGGGATTTCAAGGCCCCCCAGGTGGACATCAAGGGCCCTAAGGTGGACTTCAAGGGACCCAAGCTGGACATGAAAGGTCCCAAGGGGGAGGTGGCCACCCCAGACGTGGAAGTGTCCCTACCCAGCATGGAGATGGACATCCAGTCACCCGGCACCAAGGTGGAGGGTGATGTGTCCCTGGCAGACAAAGACGTGACTGCCAAAGACAGCAAGGTCAAGATGCCCAAGTTCAAGATGCCATCCTTTGGGGTGTCAGTTCTGAGCAAGGACCTAGGGACCTCTGTGGATGTGCCAGGGCCCAAAGTAAGTGTGGAGGCCTCTCAGCGCCCTCTGGAGATGGAGATCGCACCCACCAAGGGGGGCATCCCTGTGCCATCTGGTGACATAGCCCTGCCAGGGGCCGAGCTGGAAGTGTCCCTTCCAGAGGTGGAGGCAGTGGCTGGAGAGCTGAAGGGCGAGGTGGAAGGGGCTTGGACCAAAGAGCACCTGCCCAAGGTCCAGATGCCTGGCATTAAGATGCCCAAGGTGGATTTGAAGGGCCCCAAGGTGGACGCCAGCCTCCCTGATGTGGACGTGTCACTTCCCAAGGTCACGGTGGACGCCCCGGCTCCTGGGCTCTCTGTGGAGGGTGTTAAGGTGGAGGGAGATGTCAAACCAGGAGACAAGGACATCAAGACCAAGGACGGCAAGTTCAAGATGCCCTCCTTCAAGATACCATCCTTTGGCGTGTCTGTGCCAAGCAAATCCATCGAGGCATCAGTGGACATGTCTCTGCCAGAGACACAGGGGGACGTGTCCCTCCCCTCCATTGAGGGAGAAGTCAAGACCAGTGACCTCAGCATTCAACTCCCATCTACTGACGTGAACGTGAAGGGTGGCGAGGTGGGCGTGAAACTCCCCCAAGGCCAAGTGCCCAAGGGAGAGCTGACGGGGCAGGCCGTGGCAGCCGGACTCAAAGGGCACCTGCCCAAGTTCCAGATGCCCAGCGTCAAGATGCCCAAAGTGGACTTCAAGGCCCCCCAGGTGGACATCAAAGGCCCCAAGCTGGATGTGAAAAGTCCCCTGGGAGAGGTGGCTACCCCAGATGTGGAGGTGTCCTTGCCTGGTGTGGCGGTGGACATCCAGGCGCCCAGCACCAGGGTGGAGGTTGATGTTCCCCTGGCAGACAAGGATGTGGCCACCAAGGACAGCAAGTTCAAGATGCCCAAGTTCAAGATGCCATCCTTTGGGGTGTTGGTTCTGAGCAAGGACCTGGGAACCTCTGTGGACATGCCAGGGCCCCAAATGGGTGTGGAGGAGGCCTCCCAGCCCTCCTTGGAGATGGAGATCACACCCACCAAGGGGAGCATCCCCGTGCCATCTGCTGACATCTCCCTACCAGGTGCTGAGCTGGAAGTGTCCCTCCCAGAGGTGAAGGCAGCCACTGGAGAGCTGAAGGGCAAAGTGGAAGAGCCTAGGATCAAAGGGCATGTGCCCAAGGTCCAGATGCCCAGCATTAAGATGCCGCAGGTGGACCTGAAGGGCCCCAAGGTGGATGCCAGCCTCCCTGATGTGGACGTGTCACCGCCCAAGATCACAGTGGACGCCACAGCTCCCAGGCTCCCCATGGGGGGTGTTAAGGTGGAGGGAGATGTCAAGCCGGAAGACAAGGACATCAGGACCAAGGACAGCAAGTTCAAGATGTCCTCCTTTAAGGTACCATCCTTTGGCATGTCTGCGCCAAGCAAGTCCATCCAGGCATCGGTGGACATTTCTCTGCCAGAGACACAGGTGGACATGTCCCTCCCTTCCATCGAGGGAGAAGTCAAGACCAGCGACCTCAGCATTCAACTCCCATCAGAGGATGTGGATTTGAAGGGTGGCGAGGTAGGCATGAAGCTCCCCGAGGGCCAGCTGCCCGAGGGAGAGCCCGCAGGACAGGCTGTAGGAGCTGGACTCAAAGGGCACCTGTCCACCTTCCAGATGCCCAGCATCAAGATGCCCAAAGTGGACTTCAAGACCCCCCAGGTGGACATCAAGGGCCCCAAGGTGGACCTCAAGGGAACCAAGCTGGACGTGAAAGGCCTCAAGGGGGAGGTGGCCACCCCAGACGTGGAGGTATCTCTGCCCAGTATGGAGGTGGACATCCAGCTGCCCAGCACCAAGGTGGAGGGTGAGGTGTCCCTGGCAGACAAGGGTGTGGCCGCCAAAGACAGCAAGTTCAAGATGCCCAAGTTCAAGATGCCATCTTTTGGGGTATCACCTCCGAGCAAGGACCTGGGAACCTCTGTGGATGTGCCAGGGCCCAAAGTGGGTGCAGAGGCCTCCCTGCCCTCCCTGGGAGTGGAGAGCACACCCGCTGAGGGTAGCATCCCCATGCCATCTGCTGACATCACCCTGCCAGAAGCCGAGCTGGAAGTGTCCCTCCCAGAGGTGGAAGCCACCGCTGGAGAGCTGAAGGACAAAGTGGAAGGGGCTAGGATCAAAGGGCACCTGCCCAAGGTCCAGAAGCCTGGCATCAAGATGCCCAAGGGGGACCTGAAGGGCCCCAAGGTGGACGCCAGCCTTCCTGATGTGGACGTGTCACTGCCCAAGGTTGTGGTGGATGCCCCGGCTTCCAGGCTCTCTGTGGAGGGAGTGAAGGTCGAAGGAGACAAGGACCTCAAGACCAAGGATGGCAAGTTCAAGATGCCCTCCTTCAAGATGCCATCCTTTGGGGCGTCTGTGCCAAGCAAGTCCATTGAGGCATCAGTGGACATTTCTCTGCCAGAGACACAGGTGGACGTGTCCCTCCCCTCTATTGAGAGAGAAGTCAAGACAAGTGACCTCAGCATTCAACTCCCATCAACCGACATGGACGTGAAGGGTGGTGAGGTGGGCGTGAAGCTCCCCGAGGGCCAGCTGCCTAAGGGAGAGCCTGAGGGACAGGCCATGGGAGCTGGACTCAAAGGGCACGTGCCCGAGTTCCAGATGCCTGGCGTCAAGATTCCCAAAGTGGATTTCAAGGCCGCTCAGGTGGACCTCAAGGGCCCCAAGGTGGACGTGAAAGGTCCCAAGGGGGAGGTGGCAGCCCCAGATGTGGAGGTGTCCCTACCCAGCGTGGAGGTGGACATCCAGGTGCCCAGCCCTAAGGCGGAGGGTGACTCATCCCTGGAAGGCCTAGGTGTTCCTGTTAAGGGCAGCAGGTTCCGTCTGCCCCGCTTCACCATTCCTTCTTTTGGCAAGTCCAGCAGTGTCTCTATGGACTCCTCTCAGGTTACAGCCACTTGTAAAGGTCCGGAATTGACGGCCTCTTCAGCCACCACAGAATCTGGCGTTAGTTCCTCTGCACCTGGATCCCCTGACACGAGTGGTGATGTCACTGTGGCTTTGTCCGTCACGAAAGGTGATGAGAAGAATGAAGGGAAGGAAGCCCACCTTAAAATGCCCAAAGGCTTCTTCTCTCAGGGGAAGACCTCTCACGTCGCCCTGGACCAGAAGTCCGGGGTGCCACATCCCCCGCCTGCTTCTGCCATATCCCCTGATGCCTCTGCTGGTCTGTCCCAGGAGCAGGGTGTGACAAGTGGCTCCCGCTTCCCTCCAGTCCCCAAGGTGGGTCTGGCTGGTTTTCCGTCAGCCAAGGTTGATCTCTGTGTCCCCTTTGCAGAGTCCTCTGTCCTCCGTCCTAGTGATGGCATCACCCTAACAAAGTACCAGGTGGCGCACCCTGCGGCCACCATGCATGCTGAGTGTCCTTGTGACACAGTGCCAGTGCGGCACACTGACAGGCTCCTCCCCAGCCTAGAAGGCTCAGCTGAGCTGCAGGTCCCTGATGGGGGCCCAGCGTCCCACACAGAATCCCTCCCCAGCCCCACAGGCATCCTGGTTCCTGCCACCTACGGAAGGGTGACTTTTCCTAAATTCCATAAACCAAAGTTCGGGTTTTCAGTTGTAAGTGCTGCCACTCTTGAGGGTGAGGGCGAGGTCGAGGGCGAGGGCGAGGGCTCTGCCACTGAGACAATCGAGTTGTCCCCACCGCCCAGCACTGCGCTGCCACCAGCAGATACCCCTGTCTGCACAGGGCCGGAAGGCCACTCTGGGCCTGCTGTCATAGCCGCCATGGTGCCGGGAGAAGCCCCCTCTGAGGACACTGAGCGTGATGGCAAGGGGAGTCCCTTCAAAATGCCCAGGTTCAAGCTTCCGTCGCTAAGCTGGTCTCCCAAGAAAGAGGCAGGGCCACAAGGAGATCCTGAGGGCAGTTCTGTGGATGCAGAACTCAGCCTGGGTTTAGATGATGATCAGCCTGCTGCCCAGACAGGGGTCTTCCCGTCACAAGTGGGAGAGGACACTGATGTGCCCCCAGAGAAAGACGGGGCGAAGGGCAAGGGGAGGAAGTCGAGCTTCGTCATGCCCAAGCTCTCACTCTCCAAGGTGAAGGGCACGAAGGACCGGCCCCAGGGGGAGGTCCAGCCCTCTCTTTCTGGCACTGCAGTTGCTACAGGAAGGACCAGAGATGATGGAGGTGCGGCTGGCAGGGCCCCTGACGGAGAGGCCCAGGATACCAGTCTGGCCCTCACCAAACCCTCACTTGGCAGCTCTGAGGCTGAAGTGGAGGTGAGCAGGCCGGAGGCCACCTTTCTGCTTCCAGAGCATAACCTGTCTCTCAGGAAGGGCCCAGCACCCACGCCCCACAGGGAAGCCACGGCCCCTCCAACAGGAGAGGTGCTGCAGCCACTCGGGGCTCTGCTGGACACTGACATCCACACGGGGCAGAGCCACGAGGGGGCCGCTCAGGCAGCCCCAGTGCCGACAGGCTCTCAGGAGGGCTGGTTCAAGATGCCCAAATTCCGTGTGCCCAGCTTCTGGCGAACATCCACCAAGGACAAGGGTGGGGCGGTGGTGGGCATGGCTCAGGACCCTGGGCCTCAAGGCAGGGACGTGGCTGCTGGAGTCCAGACTCAGGACCCTGGTGTCCATGGGTTGACACTGGAGGCCGCTGCGTCACCACAGCCCACAGATGGCAAGGCGCAAGTGACAGCTGAGGTGGCATCATCCACAGATGTCCTGAAATGCCACGTGCACAGCCCAAGCTTGGAGCTGTCTTTCCCCACTGCCAGCACAGCCATCGCTCATCTCTCTGCAGCTGAGGCCAGGGTCCGTCCTGGGGAAGGCTCCCTCCCCCTCCAGATGTCAGAGACTCAGGCTGCCCCAGGGGGAACGGTCCCGACGGCTGCTCTAGGACCCGGAGCCCATGGCCCTACCACAGTAGAGGACCAAGTGGAAGGACGCCTGTCTCCTGCCCAAGGGCCTGTGAAACTGAGGACGTCACAGACCGAAATGCCAGCCCAGGTGTCCATCATCCACACGGACCAGGTCTGGGAGGATTCCGTGGTAGCCGTCACATTCCCCAAGCTGAAGGTGCCAAGGTTTACCGTCCCTGCCCCCAACACAGATGTGTTTGTCCCCTTGGTGAGAGAAGCCCCGGAGGCGGCCTTGCAAGGGGCAACCCCCGGCGTGTGGGTCGCCAGCATCCTGACGGACGCTGCCGAGATCCCCACGGAGCAGCCTGGGGACACAGGGCCCTCCTCGGAGGCATCCGCCAGCTCCAGGGTTAGAGTGCACACTGCGGGCGCTCAGGCAGAAAGCCATGCAGTCCCCGTAGGTAGCAGTGTCGCACCAGCGGCCAGCGCACCTTCCCAACCCGAGGCCTTTTCCACTCAGGTCCTGCGAGGGTCCGAGGTCCCTGCATCTGAGGTCCAGACGCCAGCTTACGGATTTTCCTCGTTGAAGGTGAAAATCCCAGAGCGCCCCCCACAGGCTAGTGTGTGCCTGGCCACCCACGGCTCTCAGGTGGGGGAGGGCTCAGAAGAGGTCCCCCAGCGTGGCGCCCCAGGGGCGGACCCCGTCCCAGACGACCTGCAGCCCGACACCGGCGAGCCCTTTGAAATCATTCCTTCCAGCATCGGAGCGCAGAGGGGCCACGCTCGCGCCGCCAGCTGCTCAGACGACGAGCCCGCAGAAATTCTTGAACTTCCCTCTGAGGACAGCCACGAGGAGGGTGGCCGGCCCGCAGACGACAGCGGGGTCCCCAAGGCGAAGCCGGCAACGAAGAAGGCTTCTGGTCTCTTCCGGTTCTGGCTTCCGGCCGTGGGGTTTTCTTCCTCCGTCGAAGAGAGCGGTTCTGAGTCCAGAGACGATGTCCAAGGATCTGCGCCCATTCAAGCGCAGCCTGAAGCCCGGCTGCCTCCGAAGCAGGAGAAGGCGGGCTGGTTCCGATTCCCCAAATTAGGCTTCTCCTCGTCTCCTGCCAAGAAGGGCGACGGTACCGAGAACAGGGCAGAACCTGCCGGGCAGAGTCTCCAGGAAGAGGCGGTCGTCTTTTTCGATGCTCGGGAAACTTTCTCCCCGGACGACAAGGAAGAAGAACCAGCGGAGGGCGCGCGCGCCGGGCCGGGCTCCGGAGGGACGGTGACCTCGGCGGCGCGGACCGAGAAGCCAGCCAGCGGACAGTCTGCTTCCAGGCCGGCCACCAGATGAAGGCCGATGCGGCGAAGCCCGGAAGCGGCGTTAGTGCACGCCCACCCCGACCACGCTTTACGTCCGCCTCCGTTCACATCGCTAAGAACGAAGCAGACACAAACGCAGCCGACACAGTCTCTTAAAATAGGACCCCAAACGCGCCCAGCTCCCCTAAAGCCTTGGGAGCAGACTTGCCCACATGACTCGAGTCCACTATGACACGGTGCTCCTGGGGGTGGCTGAAGAGGCCTTGGCTAAATAAAGTCCAGGAGGCATGCCCTGTCTCTGCTGCTTTGTGGGAGGGCTGCACGGCCCAGGAGCACACGCCGCTTCATGCCATCTGCCCTGCTGCTGTCTGTGGACGCAGTCCCTTACTCCACGCGGGTCAGATTCCCCCAGAAGGCACTGTCCGCTCACTTACTGTGAGCTAATCCCCGTGTCAAAGGGCCTCACTGAGGCAGGCCTACGGGTGCTCTACGTGATGCTGCACACGTGCGGGGCCACCCGAGGATGGCAGACGGGCCTGGTGACCCGACTGCCCCAAGATGCCTGCCACAGTCTAGCAATGCCTTCCCTCTCTGGTGGCACAGCCCTTGAAGGACATGGTGTGGCCAGCCTGCAGCATGGCCTGGCTGGCTGCTCCCTGGGAGGGAGAAGAGGCAGCTGGGTGCCCCACGTGCAGCTGCCGAGACCTGTGCCCATGTGTCCCCCACACCCCACTCAGAACCTCTACACAGCTGCTGTGGAAAATGGTCCCCAGTGGACCTGGAGGAACCACTCACCACCACTGTTCATCCAGAGGATGCTAGTTACTCAGCTAGACACACAGACAGACACACGGACACACATGCAGAGGCAGAGACACACACATCTAGAAGATGCTTGTTAATTCAGCAGGGCCTCCAGTAGCAGGTGCTGATAGACACACAGAGACAGACAGACACAGAGACACACCCAGACACACAAATACACATAGACACACACAAGACACATGTATACATACATACAGATACAGACCTGCAGACATACATATACAGACACACACACACCCAGAAACATACATCCAGACAGACAGACAGACTACACACAGGCACTCGGACACATACACAAACACGCAGAGACATAGTCGGACATAGATATAGACAGACAGACACACATACATACAAATGGACGCACAAACACAGACATACACACACACACACACAGACATGCGGAGACACAACCAGAAACATACAGACATACACAGACACACATACATACAGAAGGACACACAGACATACACACACACACACACAACCAGAGGGCAGTGCTGTGTACAGAGTGGTGACAGCACAGAGGAGGCCTGGTGGCCTGAGAGGTGGCTGTGTCCCTGGATATGTCCTCCAGCACAGCAGCCCTCCTGTGGGGCCGCACTCAGGAACCAAGCCCCAGGACGGGCAGCAGACTGAGCTTTAAGAGACTACTACGTTCTGTGGTCAGATCCTCTCCCAGGCCAGTGGGCACATAGTGAGCAGGGCAGGCCCTCTGGGCACCTGGATCTGGCTCCCTCCCGGCCCCGGCTGGCTGCTGGCAGCTCTCTTGGCTGGGAGTCTGGGAACAAGAGCTGGGTGAGCTCTCCAGGGGACTATGGGCCCGGAGGGCACACTGGCCAGGGAGTGGGGGCTCCCTCTCGCTGCCCCACTGCAGGCAAGCCCTATCTTCCCATGGCCTGTTGGGAAAACCGCTCAGGCTGGGAGTGAGGGCCCTTCTGGACAGCACTGGACATGGCTCGGCAGCCTGGTGGTCACCAGTGGGGAGGAAGGAAGGGGGTCAACCGAGCTGCTAGGCCAGGATGGCAGGCCGCCCTGCCACAATGAGGGGCCCCTAGAAGAGCCAGTCCTGCCTCAGGGAGGGGCCCTGGGAGAGCTGGCCCCGCCTCAGTGAGCGGTCTCCAGGAGAGCTGCCGCCTGGCTCTGCCTGGCTCTTCTCGAATCTGGAATCACCGTTTGGCTGGTGGCCCTTGGAGGCCCGCATGGGGCTGTTCACACTGCACAGGGAACTGCTGAACAGCGCCCCCCACTTCCTGACTGGCCTAGCTTCATCTGCAGCAGCATCCCTGGGCATGGGGCACCTGTGCCAGGTGACACCACCCCCTCACCTGCTGCAATGTCCCCAGGCTCGGCACCTGTGCTGAGTGATGCCACCACACACCAGCACCTTAAGACAACACGTGTTTATCATCCAGTGTAGCTGGGGTCTGCTCAGGGCCTCGCTGGCTGTGAGCAGGCTGGCCCAGGCTGCCGCCTCAGCTGGGGCTCCCCTGGGAAAGTTCTATTCCCAGGCCCCCTGGACGCCGGCACCCTCAGAGCCCAGCAGGCTGCAGGGCTGAGAGCCTCCACTCCCTGCTGACCAGAGCTGGACGCACCACAGATGCCTGTCCCGAAAGCTGCTCCACAGGGCAGCTTGACCCACTGAAGCCAGCAAGGGACAGTCTCCCAGCTAGATGGACGTGTTCTCAGGCCACAGAATCACTGTGCATCATTGGCTGTGCCGTGTGGATTACCAGCAAGTAACTGGTCCTGCCGGCACTCAGGGCAGCAGTCACAGGGCAGGTAGGCTCTTGGGGGCATCTTAGAGGTGGTCCACCTCACCCCAGGAGGGGCCACATCTCACACCTCATTGTGCTGGGTCTCTGTGGGGCTGCTTCACAGCAGCCTTCCAGGCTGCCACTGACTCCAGACTCCACGTGTGCCTGCAAGGGGCCTCGGAACACAGCCAGCCAGGACCGGGAGTGAGGTGCAGGCCTGAGCACAGGGCACCGGCGATGAGCCTGCGGGCGGTCTGCGGGGCAGCTCCGGGCAGCTGTGCAGTGTGGGAACCACAACCACACAGCAACACCCACACACACCCGTGCAACTGTGAGCCGGTTCCGGAGGGGCAGGTGGGCTGGAAGAGCGTGGACAGTTGTGGCGGGGGGCTCCAGGGAGCTTGGACCAGTGCGGCTCACAGACTGAGTCACTCAGGCGGGACCCCCGAGGGCTGCCTGGCTTGCAGGCACCCCACTCCCATGCCCGGGCGGGAGACTTGGGCACAGACGAGGCTCTGTGGCCTACAGCACCCTTTAGAGGTGGGAAGTGTGGGGAGGGGTCACACAGATGGAGGATCTGCACCGCGCAGCCACCAGTCTCAGCAGAAAGTGGGTGCTGGGGGCACCTGGGAAGAAAGACCCAAGACTGCCTCAAAGGCTCTGGAAGAGCAGGGGAGGGTCTGCGTCCACCCCGAAGCTCTGGCCGCTGGTACCCCATCAGCACCAGAGAGCCTGTCCAAGCCGAGCGCTGACCAGACGGACGCGTCCACCAGGGCAGGTGAGCCCTGAGGCCGTGGTCGGAGCCATCTGGCAAGAAAGGCCAGGGGGCGCTGAGACCAGCTGCCGACCCAGCACTTGTAGGAAAAGGGCCGGAACGAGGGCGCCAAACCCAAGTCAGGTGTTGCCTCTACAGACTCCGAGATGGTTACCAGGGGAGGGTGCGCTCCGACGGGGCTGCGTGCAGGGACCACTTCCCAGCTCGGTGCCAGCCCTGCAGCCTCAGTGCAGCCCTACCGACCCAGCGCCGCTGCGCCCGAGGCCCCGCCCACAGCCCCGGGCCCACCTCTGAGCTCAGGCCCCGCCTCTGGGCTCCGCCCCGCGTCCTGGGCTCCGCCCCGAGGCCTGGGTCTCTCCTGCATCTGCCAGAGCTGCGGGGACACTAGGGTGGTGACGCGCCGACTTCCACCCTGCGACTCGGTCCAGGGGCCCGTTCTTCGCGGGCATCGGGGGCGTCGTCGCCTCGGTCCCCGGCTCAGGCTGCCCCTCTCCCCTTCTGGCCTCGCCCTGCCCGCGAATTTGGAGGCCCTCTGCGTGGGTCCGGCCGCTTGGCCGTTGTGCTGCTCCGCTTCTCGCGAGCCCCCCTGGGCACTGGCGGTCGCGTGCACACGGACCTGAGCAGGGTGCTAGGGCGGGGCGGCCAGTCTGGGGCGAGGAAGAGGAGGACGGCGCGTGCTGGACTCACAGTGAGCTGGAAGCATGCGGAGTTCTTTATCTGCAGGCCGCGCTGGGGAAGTCAGAGGGGCTTCCTGGAGGGCTCCTTGGAGGAGGTGAGGCTCAGGAAGAGCCAGATTGGGAGGGCAGAGAGGAGCAAACAGGGCTTGGGAAAGCGGCCGGGGCGGGTGGCGCTGTGAGCTGTCCTGACCTCCACCCCCAGGACTTGGGCGGGGGAGCCAGGGCCAAGCCGCGGAGCGGGGCGGGGCCTGGAGCCCGAAGGCTGGCATCAGCCCCGCCAGACGCAGTCCTGGCCCTCGGCCTGTCCGTCTAGGCCCACGGCGTAGCGGGAGTCCCAGTCCCGCTCAAAGAGCTGCCGCAGCTGCTCCTGCACAGTGGAGGCTCCTGGCTGGGCGTGGGGGGCTCTCTGGCTGACCACCAGGCCCACCCCTGAGGTGCTGCTGAAGTAATCCGCAGACCAGTTGGAGGTGCCTGGGGAGAGAAGGGACGCTGGGCATGAGTTGGGCCATGGGTTGAGGGTAGCTCTGCTGTCCTCAGCCACCAGCCAGGCTGCCCCTGGCTCCGGGGCTGGGGGGCCAGCAACTCTTCAGGAGTGTAGCTTGCCCAGAGCACCTGGGCAGGCCCAGCTGTCATTCTGCGGACTCTGGGCTCTGGATTTCCCGGCCTGTCCCCCTCTGCCTGGGGGCCCGTGCTGGACACAAGACCATGCCCCCTTCAGCACTCTTGGCTGACACTGCCCTGGGGACACTTCCCCGCTGTGGGTTTGTGTGTCCTGTGGTGTCACAGCCACTCCTTCGGGCCCCGATCCCCTTGGCGGACTGCCTGGTTGCTGGCCCACGGCTCCCCACCCCACACTCACCAATGTAGGCTGCCTTCTCTGTGACCATGAATTTGCTGTGGCTCACCCTGCTGAATGGGATGCTGGAGTGGTTCCCCACCGGCACAATGAACACTTTCTTCGGGTACAGAGAGGGCGTCAGGCTGGGCTGGAGGGAGCTGCCTTCCCCAGACCCCAGGATGGGCCCTTACCACATCCACGAAGATGCCGGCTGCGGGGTCACTGAAGGACTGCAGAGACCGCAGGTAGGGGAACATGGTGGGGTCCGTGTGGCGCCAACAACTGACCAGCAGACGCACGTGGACACTCCTGCCGAAGGCTGCTGCCCGCAGGGCGTTGTCCAACACTGGCCAGTACCTGGGAAGGGCGGGGCTGGTGGGTGTCTGCCCCTCAGTGGCGCAGCCCCGCCCCCAGGGCCCCTGCTGCACCCAGCGCACCTGGGGGGGTGGCTGAATCGTGTGGTGGGGAAGTACTCCATCACAGATGTGTAGATGAACTGCCGGGCGCCCCTGATCACCTCCAGCAGCGCATCCAGGTCCTGCGTGCGGCCGTGGGGGCAGAATGCGGGTGGCGAGGCCTGCCGGGAGGCTCTCTCTGTGAGGCACTGGCCCAGGCCGGGTCCGTGCACCACCCTCTGGAGCTCAGGGACAAATTGGCCTGTGTTGTGGTTCAGGGAGAGGGACCCCAGGGAGGGGTCCTCGCCCCCCCCCCCCAGTCCATGCCGGGAGACAGGAGGGTGCTGGCCCTGGGCTCGGCTGGCCAGCCCTCCCTGCACTGGAGAAATCTCCACTGGGCCACTTGGTGAGGCAGGCCCATGTTGCAGGAGGGTAGGCGGGAGAGGGGTTCATCCCGCCCCTCTGCTCCAACAGAACGGTGTCACTGGCTGGCGGCTCTTCGGGCCCCCTCCCTCAGCCCTGGGTGAGTCTCTAAGCGGGGAGGCTCTTTGGAGGTCAGCCAGTGCCCCTACCTCATCCCTGGATGCCAAGCCAGAACCCAAAGACTACTGGGCACCCCAGCACCTCCCCGGCCACTGGTCTCCCATGGGTGGCCCTGACTGGGCACCCCGTCCCAGAGACAAGCCTGCCTCCTGGGACAGCCTGCTGGCGGCCAGCCTGCCCTTGTGGGGGCCACAGCCAAGCCCACTGGCTCCGGCCGAGACTGCTGCCTCCCTGAGGTGTCAGAAGCAGGGCCCAGCTGGGGTGGACCAGTGACATGCTCGGCCTCTCCTCAAGCCCTCACCGAGAAGTAGGCAGTGGTGGGCACCCCCTCGAAGCGGCCCCAGAAGGGCTGGAAGCGGTTAATGTGGGTGGAGAAATTCCGAGGCCAGGCTTTGGGGAGGACGGCCTGGGGTGCGCCCAGCGCCCAGTAGGTCTGGAAGGTCTTCTCCAGGTCTCGGGCTAGCTGACTGCAGTTGTAGATGATGACGCCAAGCTCCTTAACCTGCGGGGCCAGGGCGGCAGCTGGGGACAAGGATGCTGCGGCTGTGGCCCCTGCCCTGGCCCACTGGGGGGACGCAGAAGAGACAGTGCGCTTCAGGGGGACCCCAGAGGGAGGGACAGGTGGGCGTGTAGTCTGACAAAACCAACAGAAGAAAATGAAAGTCGCTGGATGTCACAGCGGTGGCCGTGGTGACCATTTCCGCGACGTCCTTTGACGCGTTTTTACTGCAGCGTCTGAAAAGGGTCCTGCTTCGCGATCTGCACGTTTCCCGGGACGTCTTCGCACTCGGCTGAACGTCCTTCCTCAGCTAGAGCCCAGCGGCCAGTGTGAGGTGCTTTCTCTAGATGAACCTGGGTGTCTGCAAAGTTCCCAGGGTACAGGGTGGGAAGGGGCCACAGCCCCAGGGGGCCCCTGTGCTCCCACCTGTGTCAGGGACCGCCAGTCCATGTTGGCACTGCCCAGGTAAATGTGCAGCTTGTCCACGACCCAGAACTTAGAGTGCAAAACGCCCCCGGTGAGCTGCTTCATGGGTACCCGCCGCACCTGAGCACCTGTTCAGGAGACGAGAGCCACCCTTGTGAAGTGACCACTGGCACCGAGTCTGGTGCTCCCACCTGGACTGACTGCTCAGTCAGTGAGGTTACCATCCCTACTTCACAAGTGACTGGCAGGCCCCCAGGCTCCAGAGCTCGAAGTTGTGGCGACTGTCTCTGTCTCTGCTCCCTGGCAGGGGTCCCATCCCCAGTGCCCCCAACAGGGAGCTGGGGCCACCTGTTGCTTCAGCCCATGGGAGTTGGCTCCCGGCTGCTTGGAGCAGCCCAGCGCTAGGTGCACAGACTCAGCCAGGCCCGTTCTGCCCCGCCCCACCCGGCAGCCTGGGGAGACACAGGGAGGGAGGCTTCCCAGCCTCTGCCGGGAGGCCCTGCCCTTCTCTGTCCTGGTCCCAAGGTGCCAGGGCCTGGGATGGCACAGGCCTCTACCTTGTGCTGCCAGCACCTGCAGGTCCGTGGAGTTCCTGGCCATTGTCGGGTCGCCGGTGGCCACAGCCAGGGAGACATTCTTATCTAGCAGTTGTCGAAGCTTGTGCAGAAGGGCCTCTCCCTGTGGGACCAAGCTAGCCATGAGGCCAGTTCATCTGGGTCTGGGCCCCAAGGGACCCTGCTGGCCCACTGTCCCATAGCCCCTCAGCAAGCCCTAGACTCTGCCCCAGCCACCCACCGGCCCCAAAAACCCACAGCAGAGTCCCAAGGCAAGTGCTTGGGGCCTTTAGGACCTGTGGCCAAAAGCGGTTGGGGTACTCGCTCCTCCAGGCCCTCTGCCGCCTGCCCCAGAGCCCCTAAAGGAAGTTCCCAGCCCCCCAACACACTCCCCCACAAGCTGAGCCTGGGGTCTCTGGCCAGGCAGGGACTAGGGCTCGCACCAGCTGGGAGGATGGGTCGTGGACGCCGACATCAGCCCCCGTGAGGGACCAGTAGAAGGAGGCCACGTGGACACTCTCCTGGGCAGCATCCAGGAGCTGTAGCCAGGCCTGGGCCAGGGGCTGGACTGCTGGGCCGGGCACAACCAAGTCCTGGGGGAGGCTTTCCACGAGGACAAGCCTGTGGAGCAGGGAGGGGGGCCTGAGCACCCCTTGCACAGCCCCTGCACCCACGGAGTGGGGAGAGGTGCAGGATCAGGGCACCAAGCAGACTGGGCAGGCTCTGACATCCTCAGACCAGAGCGGGCAGTGACGCCCAGGAGCACTGCAAGGGAGGTGGCTTGCAGGCCAGGCCAGAGGCAGATGGGGGGCTGGCTTCCACCCTGACCTCACCCCCTAGGAGGGCCACCCAGAGGAGAGGGGCAGAGCTGATGTGGTGTGGTGACCCTGGAGGGCTTCTCTCGAGCTGAGCAGGGCAGGTGGTGGGGCAGGCTCCTCCCCAGGAGGGGGACGGGAGGGCAGTGAGAGGACCTGGTCCAGGCCAGAAGGTGTGTGTCAGCACTTTAGAGCCAGGAGGGCGGGTGCCTTTGCCGCATCCAGCCAGCCTCTGCTGCGAGGGTTCCAGGTCCACAGCTCTGGCCCAGCCTGTCCTGCCTGCACTGTCTTTATGGGCCTTCCCAGCAGCTCCCTGCCTCACTGCCTGCCCTCCCAGGATCCCACCTCCAGAGAAGGCTGGTGCAGGGCTCCTTCCCAGGGACTAATGGGGGACTCGGGCAGCAGGCCTGGAGCTGGCCCCAGGTACTCACTGACAAGCATCCTTCTGCCTCCCAGCCTTCTCCTCTTCTCTCAGGTGCTCCCAGGCCAGGCGAGCACCATGGCCCTGGGACGCAGTGGGCTCTCCCTCGGGGCGTCCATGGCCCCAGGCGGGAGGGGAGGACGTTTGCCACAGGAGGAATGGAAGAGTCAGAGTGCCCAAGCACAGCACAGCCAGGATCCCCAGCACCTACGGCGGAAGCAGGCAGCACCCTTGGGCCCTGGAGTGACTGGGTGCTCCAGAGCAGAGACAGGACAGGCCCGGCTCCAGGGAGGGGCTGTAGCTGGGGTTGGGGGTGGTGGCCTCTTGTGCTTGGGCTTCATCCTGATGCTGTGGCCACAGAGTCGCTGCCCACCTCCCTAGACCCCTGTGGCTGAGGCTCGTTGGCAGATCTGCATGACCCAGGCTAGTGGGTATGCCTTGCCCACGGGCCAGGGTAGCCCACACCCCGTAGGCCCATTGCTGACCCAGGAGCCCTGTGAGGCCCTGTGCGGCTGTAGAACTCCTATCTGCCACCTCACCCCCTCTCAGAAGCCCACCCTACCTTGCTGATCTCACTGTCCCGTGGGCTGCGGTGGAGTGTGGAGCAGGGCCACGAGGGGGTCCTCAGGGGTTCCTGTGGAGGTCTTAGCATCACCTGCAGGGGGCAGCCCAGCGTCACCGGCAAGGCGCAGGCTGCTGGGCCAGGGACACCCCTCGGCAGGGCCTCCACAGCCGGAACCCCCCGGAGCCACCCACTCCTGCCTGAGGCTGCCACTCGGCTCTGGGGCCGCCCGGCCAGGTTCTGGCTCCACCCTGCAGCCCTCAGCTCAGGCAGAGTGGCCCTTTAGGGGCAGCCTCCGTGTGAGTCCTGAGGTGCCAGGCCCCTCCAGCACCTGGCCTTCTGGTATCTGTGTGACAACGCAAACAGTTAACACGATCAGCTGAGGACGGAAAGCCTAGAGCGTTCCCACCCAGAGGTACCTCAGAAGGAAGATCTAGGAAACTACTTCTGAGAAACCAGCCCCGAAAGCCCCGCAGAGCCAGCTCTGCCCCGACCCACGCGGGCGCACCACGGGTGGGGGGTGGGAAAGCCCCGTGGAGCCCAGCTCTGCCCCGGGGCACGTGGGCTGTGAATTTCCGCCCCGGTCCCCGTCTCTCGGGGCATCTGGTCGTCTAACTCTCAGTTCCTCGTTTCAGCCGCAACACAAACGGGTCTGAAAAGGCTGTTTCTGCTTTTGCCGCTCAGTCGCTCTGCACAGGCCTATAAATAAACCTCGCTCCTGCCCAGGAGCGGCTGCCTGCTGGGCGCGGCCTGTCGGGGATCGGGGCACTGAGAGCAGAGGGCCCGTGTGGGCAAGGTTGTCAGCAGACGACAGAGCTCGACCCTTCCTTGGGCTGGACGTGAACAGGCTGCTGCAGAGGCCAGCGGGTGCAGCGTGGGTCATGGAGAGGCCTGTGTGCAGCGCCATGGCTGACTCTGAGCCTCCCTCGGCCTGGGGCTGGGGCCGTGTGTAGTGGCCACTCAAAGACCTGGGCTCCTTGCAAGCTGCCCCTGAGGGTCAGGGCTGAGGCCCTCAGAGGCTCGGGCCCCTGTAGCCCGGGGGCAGGAACCCAGGAGTGAGCCTGGAACTCCAGAGCGGTTCTGGGCATCGGTGCCCCAGGAAGCACTCGGAGAGGCTGAAGGTGGGGCCGGTCTCAGGGAGAGTCCACGAGGTGCAGACACCCCTCGCCACCCAGGGTGCTCCCTTCCCACAGACAGCGGCAGGCTTACCAGCCCCTCCTTCACCAACTTGGGGACAGCAAGGTGGTGTTCTGGGCAAGGGGCCAGGCAAAGAGGCCCCTCGGCTTCCTTGGAGAAGCTGTCCCCCTCCCTACATCCCTAAAATGTCCCCCACTTGGGAGCCCTCCAAGGCACCTCCTGGAGCCACACACCCCCAGAGCCATCCCACCCCCAACTCCACCAGCCCAGAGGTGCAGACTGATTGGAGCCTGGGAGAGGCTGGCCCCCGGCGTGGCCTCGTGTGTTCTGTGTCCCTACACTGGGAAAGAATGACCCACTAGGAGGTGGCATCTCTGGGCTGTGGAGACACCCGTGCGAAGACTCCCAGGCCTCTCCAGCCCCTGGCGGGTGGCCTCAGGACCCTTCAGGCAGCAAGGGTCAGAGCTGGGGGACCTCCCTCCCAACTTCCTGTCCTGTTGGGCTTGAGGGTGCTTCCCTGCCCGGCCCGGCCTCACCATCACACACCTTGGGGGCTGCTGCCTTGGTGTCCATCTGTCCAGAACAGCCTGCAGTGTCACAGGACCCCGCCACCGCGCCCACCTGCTTCTCGCTCAGCCACTGCTTTTCCTCCCGGCTGCTTCCTGTCTGTCTGAGTAGCCCTCTCCCCAGCAAGGGACAGACATCTGGAGGGGTGGGCGGGCTGCAGGGCGTGGCCTGAGCCCATGACCTTGAGAGCATCTTCGGCAGAGGGCGTCAAGGTCACAGGCCCACGGAACTGAGCCAGAAGTTGACTCCTCTCCCACCCTGTGGGGATTGGCTCCACAGCCACTGGGTTCCCCCCAGCTCTCAACGCCCAACCCTCGGGTTGACTGGCAGCCTCGGGGCCCCAGATGGCTGCTGGAGTTCAGTTATCACCTCACAGTTCCTAGCTGAGCAGACTCCCTGAAAGTCCCTCAGGATGCGTTCCCTTACGTCTCATGATTCCAAACTCAGTCACATGGCTGCACTTAGCTGCAATGGAGGCTGGGAAATGGAGGCTGGAATCTCCATCCTAGAGAACACAGCAGGGGTGTGGTAGTTAAGGTTGTGTCTCAACTTGGCTGGGCCTCGTTGAGTACTGGGCAGCTGGTGGTAGTCGTTCCCCATGTCGAGACTGGCAGTCAGCTCCATGGTGGGACCTACCACAAGCAGCTGAGTAGCTGCTTTAGGGATGTGGTCTGCTTCCCGTATATAAGCAGCAGCTTTGGGAATGGTCTCTAGCTTATGGCACCTTGAACCCTGAATGTAGCCATATCATTGTTCAGCTGCCTGCCATGCTCTGCCGACCTTGGGAAATTCAGAGGACTTGAATTAATGGCCTGCCATGTGGTTTGGTAACATCGGGACTGTGCCTTTTTTACTTGTCAACCTTGGGCTTGCCAGCCTCAGCAGCCAGCAGCTGTCTGAGTGAAGAAAGCCTCCAGCTTCAGTGGGCCGGGAGCAGGAGGCAGAGCTGAAGCCCAAGGTTGAGGGGCTTTCACCCAGCCCCTAGAGCCTGGCACTTTGAACTCAGACTTCTAGCCTCCAAACTGTAAGAGAATAAACTGTTCAAGCCACCCCATTTGTAGTACATTCCTGTCAGAGTGACACTAGGGAACCAAACAGCAGGTGTAGCTGGGAGCCCCAACCTGGAGAATGTGGGGGGAGGTGCAGCTGGGACCCCCATATTGGAGAACATGGGGGCACAGCTGGGCCCCCATTCTGGAGAACACTTGGGTGGTCACTGGCCTGTCTGAAAATGTACCTGCCAGACTGGCTCCAAGGGAGGGACCGACGGGCAGTCCTGGGACCTGTGGAGGGGGCGAGGAGCGTGTAAGAGAAGGGTGCCCTCAGAGGTCCCTTTGCCGTCAGACCTTCCTGATCTGGCTTGGGGGTCGTCCTCTCAGGCCAGCAGCCAGGCACCTCCTGCTGTTGGCTTCAGGCCGTTAGATGCTGCTGGTCTCGGGAGCCCTGATCCTGGGCTGCAGGCCCACCCCAAGGGCTGGCTCTGACTGGGCTTTGGGATGGCCAGGCAGCCCGGCCCGAGCACCCGAGGGCGTGCACCACACGACACCCATCGCATGTGATGGTCACGCTCAGCACAGTTCAATACACGTTCTCCTCTCTGGCCTCAGCAGCTGTGCCTGCTCCATGGCTAGTGAGGCTGCTCCCATGCAGAGCACCTCGTGCCTGGATGTTCTCACCAAATGGCTCTTTGTGGAAAGCCAGTCCCCACAGTCCCAATGTCACAAGGTCATCACAAGCACCCAGATGCACACCCCAGCCACAAGTCCGAGCTCCGCCCCTCCCTCCCCTGGCCACACCTCCGGCCAAGGCCATGACAGACATGGCGGCTTGGCCATGAAGAGTGGACGCGTGATTGGCGGTAGAGGCTGATGGTATCCCCAAGTCCTAACCCCCAGTACCTGTGGACGTGACCTTGTTATGAGGGTGAGCTATGACCCAATGAGTGGTGTCCTTCAAGGAAGAGGAAAGAGACCCAGAGGGAAGGCAGCCACATGACCAAGGAGTCAGATGGAAAGGATGTCCCGAGAAGCCGAGGAACGCAGGGGACCACTCGCCGTCACCAGAGAGGCATGCAACTGAGGCCATAGGTGCCCAGTGGTCAGTCAGTTTGTTTTAACTTTACATAATTTAGGTTGTTTTTCGGGTGAATGCACATTTTTTAAAAAACACAGTCGCCATCAAGCCACCTCTGACTCACGGGGACCCCTCATCTGTCAGAGAACTGGGCTCCACAGCATTTCCAATGGCTGATCCTCAGAATACATTGTTAGGCCTCTCGCCCCAGTACCCTGTGGGTGGCTTGAACCTCCAGTCTTCTGGTCAGCAGCGCAGCATGTCAACGTTGCACCACCCAGGACTCCAGAGAGAATGCTGGACCGAAACAGCGAGTCTGGCTCCTCCCTGGACATCAGGTGCCCAGCTTCCCGCCCTGCTCTGCAGCCTGCTGGGCTCTGTTGGGCCTTGGGCTCCAGTGCTCCTGGCTTTTTCCGGGCCCAGCAGGAAAGTAAACATAACAAAATGTTTTTCTGTGACTTGGAAACCCAGACTCCACATCTTGGGTAATTGGAAACGTATCTGTTCACCATCGTGTATGGGTGAAAGGTCCTTCCTCACCGCCCTTCCACAAGACACAGCCCCTCTGGCCCAGCTCACCACCCGCCTCGGGATGGAGCTGGCTCTGCCCGGCAGGGCTCCCAGGCGAGCTTGGGCATCCACAAGGTGCTGGGCATTTGCAGCTTCCTGGGTTCTATGGACGGTTCTGGGGGAAGCAGGGGAACCCCCTTTGTGTGGTCAGGTTACTCTTTGAGAGGAGTCCCTGGGAGGGGCCTGACTGGATTTTATGTTATTTTACTGTGATTGTGTGATTTTAAGGTAAAACAACAGAAAAGTATCTAAAGACACTCTGGAGATGTGTCGTATAAATAACACGTGGTCGGCTTGTGATGCAGTTTGACAGTTCCTACCCACTGCGGCTGACTGTGGCCCATTTCCGTCCATCACGGGTCACTGGTGTATTTCCCGCAATCTTTACGATCTTGGAACGCACTGTTGACCCAGTGCTGGTTCCTTTTTGTCTCCTTGCCTTGCCTTCTTTGGGCTCGGCTGACTTGTCATTTCTACTCTTTCCTGGGTAGCAGTGCTCTGTGGTGGCACCGTCTGGTGCCCACCCACTCTGCTCTTCTTTCAGACACAGGGAGGAGTTTTCTGCCAGTGCTCATGTGGCTCTGCAGGGCAGGTGACCAGTTCCGGCCAACGCGCTTTGAGAACGGCCACTGCCCTCCCTTTATGGAATTCCTTACCTTCTGGGGCAAGAAGTTTGAATTGGGGGGGCCAGCTCTGGAGGAAGGCTCTCTGCCGGCTCAGGTGAAGGCCCTTGTTTCTTCAATGTCTCCTCCTTGGCTCCTGGCGCTTCATCAGGCTCAGCGTCCACCTTACCCCACCGCTGTCTCCTGACTCCTACTCCTTTTATACCTCAAGAGGTGGACTCAAGACACACCCTACACCAATAGGGTCTCGTGAATAAAACCTAGAGACCCCACTCCCAAGTGGGAGTACAACCACAGTTCCAACCCTAACAGCCAGGAAGCACTCCCTCTTGCAGGTGTCCAGATGTCCCCCAATCCCCTGCCCGTGGAATGTGTACAGCTTTGCAAGAAGGGGCTCCTTCCCCAGCCCCTCTGTTGTGCACCCAGCCATGACCTGCCTTGGCCTGTCCCTCTGCAAGACTGAGGGCTTGGGAACAGAGCGTGCTGTGCTCCATCTCTGCTTCTGAGTGTTTGGTTCATTCCACTGTTCCCATCTATGCCAGGTGGGGCTTAACGCTTTCTACCTGGTCCACTACGCACAACACAGAGCATTTTGTTCCAGCCAAAGCTGCTGCAGAGACAAGTTTCTCGGCTGACAGGTGGATTTTTCCCATCTTACCCTGACATTGAGTGTAGCCCCTTTGCATGTCATAACTCTGTGCAGTCTCCCCCAACTTGGGTAGATGTAGAGCCTAGTCTAAAAGTCAGCAGATTACAGCCTTGGGCCAAGTCCAACCAAGGCACATTCTTTGGGGCTTTTGTTTTGTTTTACCATTTATCCAACATTATAGTGTTTTGTTCTAAAAGTGTTTTGAAATGCTTAATCTACCATATACCTAGAAGTAAAATTCCATCTCTTTCTATTGCTTTAGTGGCTACTCTTAAAACCTTAACATAT